TATATATATCTACGTATATCTATATATATATATATATTATTTATATAATGTTGTTGGTATATATATATATTTGTGTGTATGTGTGTGTGTGTGTTTGTATATATTTATGTATATATATGCATATATTTGTATATATATGTATGTGTGTACGTATGTATGCATGTGTGTATATTCATATAGTGATATGTATATATATATATATATATGTGTGTGTGTGTATGTGTGTGTGTGTGTGTATAAATATGTGTGTGTGTGTTTCTGCGTGTATGTATTTGTGCGTGTGTTTTGTGTTTTTGTGAATGGGTACGTGCGTGTCTCTGTGTGCGTCTGTGTGGTTGTGTGAACACGCATGTGTGGGGGTTTGTTTTTGTGGGTGTACGTGTACGTGTGTGCGTTGCGGGTGCTTGCGTATGTTCCTGTGTATATGTGCGCGCTGTGTGCTTCAGCGTTTGGGTTTATTCGGTGGATCTCCGAGGATAGTGTTTGATTTCGGTGATAGGTGCAGGAATTATCTCAATTTACTAGTTAAGGATGTAATTTGTGTGAATGTATATTTCTTAAGGTAGTTTTGTGACTCATACCCACTACAAAGCTGTAGGTGTTAAGTATATCTTATTGTTCACGTACAAATTTTCTTTTGTCATACTAAAACATTAACGGATCATAAATGTATTGGTGTCGTACAAATTTATGCACGATGTCGTCTGTACCATCTAATATCTCTTAGTCAGCCAGAACGATTACCTGTCAATGGACAAGTTCAAGTCTATGTGTATGTGAAAGGCCTGTCTTTATTCACCAATCCTGGTACATGCACAACATTGACGTTTCATTCTATTACTCTATCAATTTATGTACAGAAGTGTGTGTGTGTGCGTACACATACATACCTCGGAGCTGCATGATGACAAAAGCTCTGCTGCCTATTTGTATTACAATTGGCCTTTTCTCTCCTTACTCATGCACCGGGGGCTCATCCACTCACGCACGCACATCACACACAGTCCTGGGCCGCGGAGAGGTTCTATACATCCCTAACGATTGGTGGCATGCAACACTGAACCTGGGCGAGAGCGTGTTCATTAGTGTATTTGTTTGATACATAGTATGTAACCGTAACCCATCATAAAGTACCATCGACGACGAAGTTGCGTCAGTATGTGCGCTCAACTTATCCAACACGCAAACTACTGCGAGTGTTATAAGCTGCGATCCACCCGAGTATCTGTGACACCGACATTGTGCGTTGGAAACTTGATTTGTGTCCGCACACTGGAATCCTGCAGGTGCAATACACCTCGGTGCGTTCTGAATTCTGGACACTTGTGAATATATGGTACTCTCTTAGTAGCCTATCGGTAGCAGATATGCACTTGAGGGCTTCAACTGTTTCATTGCCGGACAGATTTTCCGCGGTGCAAGTACTTATAGTCAAGGCGAACAAAGTCTACAGCAGGACGGCCTGCATGAATGCAAAGCGCCTATTGACGAGAGTTTGGCAGAAAGCGCACTAGTAACCCTCAAAAACAAATATTTTACCGTTCAAACTACATTATTCGAATCAGTTCGCGTGAAAACGATAACGAATCTCGCAGTTGTCGAGCTGCTGACGAGATGATAACGCTAACTCCACTCTACACACGGAGAGTATAGACCGACCTTGCCTAAAACATTTTGTATACGAACTAGCTGCTGTCTTCTTGCCGGACTCAGCCGATGGCATCGATACGTAGTTCAATCTGTGGTTTCTTTGAAGTGCTCGAGGCGGGAATCCGATACATGAATGTAGTGAAAGTCTCTTATATAGCAATGTCGTCTTGTATAGAGTTATCTCACTGCGAAGATAGCAGGAAGACACTCAGTGGGCGAGATAACATATTGATTTACTGCTGTATATATTGAAAAAGAAACAGAGGAGAGAGAGAGAAGGTAGGGAAGCAACGAGCGACTCGATATATTGTACAGGGGCGGGAGTGGCAACTTCACTGAATATGGGAATCTATCTCGATTATCATTGCACGAGGACTACGTTCCTGATTATACTAATTGCACAGAGAGACTTGGAGGTCAGTTCCGAAAAGTAGATAATCGCACAACGCTCAAGCAGAATAAGATTGAAGCAGCGTGCAAATTTATTCTCTAGCGAATTTAATAGGTCGAGAGTTATTGCATTGTCTGTTCAAAATTCAGAGCGGATTGTTGTCCTAGATTAAAAACGCACTGATTGAAGTTAAAGTACAATTTTTGTATCCTCTGCACTTGCATGCCGACTATCAGTTAAACTGAGTTGCGACGATGGCGCACTCAAGTACGTTGCATCTCCTGACCTGCAAGCTTTCTGGGTTAGTTCACTGTCACCGAGGCTCATATTGTTGCTTGAGACCGAATTTATATTTTGGTATGTCTGCAACCCGGACATACTTCTTATTCGCATCTCGTCTACTACATGGAGCCTGCATAGCTACTGTACGTGTATCCGAAGTTGATTGCGTGCGCGTTGAATTGCTACCATCTGATACGTTACCATCACAATTATCCGTGTTGACCCAGTTGGCAGTTTTTACATAACCTGTTGGATACTGACGCCGTGCATTGACTCCACCTTGAGTTTGCGCACAATTGCTGACCATGTGGGTTCCAGACGCTTGTTTTTGATTCTGCTCATTTACAAATGTGTCAAATAACTGACTGAATTGAAGATTAGGACTTACAGCTTTGTCAACTTGGCCTATGATTGGGAATTCCAATGGATCGACCGATCCATACCCTGCCAAGTGTGCAGCGGAATTCGTAGGTGACAGTGTTGCCATGGCCCATGATGCTGGTACGTTTGTGTCAGTCGTGCTCGGTACCCCTGAGCATCTGAGGTATAACCAATCCAAATCCGAAGACCCCGAGGTTGCTATCGTGGTAGCACGATTAGTCTGTGATGGCAGTCGAGCTGGCAGATTAGCAATTCCACACGTACTTTGCAGCTGTGAGGAAAAATCTGATAGACTACTGTTTGAGTCTATCAAGCTGGAGGTGCGCATAGCGTTACATCTTGCAGTATCTTGCTTAGATTCCATGCGTGTGTATGGTAACCTCCCTTGTACATTTGGCTGTTGTGGGTGGCGTGAGCGTGACTTATTTTCGTGAGTACTATGACTCATATTTCCACTCAACCTCTCGTGTGCCTCATTCGTGATATTCAACTTTCCAAGATCTGAGCTTGGTACTGTTGCTGACCGACGATTGGCGCATGTTTTCGACACCGCTCGCGAGTCATATCTGTAGTTGGCTCCGACACTACTCGTCGAAAGAGGAACATTCTGAATCGGTATTTTTCCATATATAGTGGCCGCGTTGGACTCTATACCCCTGTGCTTCGTACGCTTATGCTGTTTGGAAAAGTTGTTGCAAAACAAATACATAAGCAAACACACTATTCAAAACAGAAAGTGTATCATGGAGGGAATTTACCTAGCCTGGAATTTCGGCCGTGAAGAGTTAAATGTTGATAACGAAAATGACAGGCGACATACGAATTTTTTGGATTGTTGAAAGGCATAGCTCCGGTCGCACTCCTCGCATTTGTAGGGGCGCTCTGTCTCTGAGTACTTCCTACGAACCCTCGTAGTATGGATAGGCAATTGCATTAATTCATCCGTTGGGCTTTGTGGTCTGAGCATACTTAGAATCCTTACCCACTATGTGTCTAAAAGTTGTTGTTGTTGTTGTTTGACCATGATACCCGATTCTTGCTCGTGGTGGCTTGCAACTTCTCGTATGTAATGAAATGTGATTTCACTTCTGGCTGTATCGGATAGTAATAGTATTTAAATACCTAAATATATACACAGAAGGCGAATAAAGGACTCATCCTACATACCTTCGTCTAAGAAATACTCGTATTTGGAATGGTCCTGGGGGAATTCAGAATTCTGGCATGCAGGAGCCTGGAGGTCTGTAGACTGTTCACGGTAGGGCATTCATTAGTACTCTCCAGAAGTCTGTACTCTGTAGAAAACGCCAAAATCAAAAATATGTCAGTGCTGCTATACTGCTGGCCTGCAAAGTGCAAACCGCAAGGCGCAATGCATGTATTGTTTCAAAAGAAACCTAAAATTTATCATGGGAGGTTATATTTATATTTATATTTTATTTGTTTCCTTTTTTTCTTCAAATTATCCATAACCCAAACTGCAGATAAAAATATGTTCTTGTGGTTTCGGAGACTTCGGCTCGGTCTTTAATTGGATATACCATTTTTTTTTCTGTTATGGACTTGTGGTGTAAATACTCATTTGGGGGAAATCTTTACAGACAACATACACAATTCACAAAGTCATCGAAATTGCACAATCCGGAGAAAATAAAAAGCGAATCAAGACTAGTCAAAACATATTGAAGATATTCGATTGGTCTTAGATGGAAATTAGAAACGAAGGTAGAAATTGAGAAAATTTTAGCCACAAATATCGTTCATTTTTAACCTTTGTGAGTTTGTATGGAGGAATACGAGCAGTGCGAGAGCCGAGAGGTATAGTGAGTTAGTGACTCTCTCAATAAAAAAATTTAAAAAAATACTGATATCAGACATACTCTCTATAAAATTAAAGAGTCAATAGTTCTGACCTGGTTTCCGACAATGTTTTTTTTGGTTTACTACGTGTTCAACATGTATAATACATAGAATAGTTTACTACATATTTTTAACTGTTGGTTTAATACAGATTTACAAAATTGCTAAACTTTTTTTTCTTCTATACCAATCAGAGGTACGTAATGTCAACATTTAACATTACACCAATGACTATTGGATATATAGCCCACCTTAACTAAATCAACATGACACTCACTTATTACTGTCAGCTAACCTCATCACGTAATACGTTGCAACGTTTTCAAATGAAAAAGTAAAAGTAAAAAGTTGAACTTTTTCGTATACATTCGTAGTCCTAAAGCTGTGTGAGCATTGTCCAAATCAGAGTTTTGTCCTAACCACATATCGTAACTATTGCCCGCCCAACGCGTCGGTTGAGCGTTGTCAAGTATATTAATATTAGCCCGCCACACTAAATAGCCCGCCACACTAAATAGCCCGCCACACTAAATGACCCGCCAAAGAAATATTACAGACGGTTATCTCGGGACATCAATATGGCTTTAGCGGTTAGCCTTTTAGTTTTAGATACGAGGGGGTTCAACGTTGACCTGAACCATCTGTAAGCGTGTATATATTTAAATGAGCTGTACCTTACAAGATATTAGTACAGTTTGAATATTGAAGTACTATTCACCATGCCAAGGGTCGCTGATTCAGTAAAGCCTACACACTCCATTGTTGCACGCAATGGAGACAAGGGAATATTCAAATGCATTTATTGTAAATTAGTACTCAATTTCTCCAATGTGAATCAATTGAGATATCACCTGGCTGGAAAACGCTGCACTGCCCCTGTAGATGTCAAAGCAC